CACCCCCAAAGGTGACTTTTGCCAACATCTGGGTCTCAGCCCTCTAACTCTGTGGCCCTGTCTTTGGGGTCAGGCCTTCCCCACCCACAGTCCTGTGGTTATTAGTCGGCTATTTCTGTTTACTTCAATTCTCCAGACGTGGCCTGACAGGGATGGGACCCAGAAGCCACGGCACCTGCTCCGAGGGGCCCAGAGGACGTGCGCACGCTCACACCCACACCACACCCTTGCCACACTCCCAGGTGCTCACGCGTTCACAAGTGCATGCCCACAGCGGGTCTCCGGGGTTGCAGCGGGAAGCAGAGCTGGATTGGTGGGACGTCCTTTCTGTCCCACCTCAGCCCAGCTACCCGAGTCTCTGCCAGAGAGCACCCTGGACCCCGAGAGCTGTCAGGACCCCACGTAAAATGACCTGACTTCACAGATCAGAAAATGGAGGCCAGAGCAGATTGCAGAGCTGAGTGTGCCCAGGAAGTTTCTGAGGACGGGCTGCTGGTGCTGGCTCTTCCTGGAGCCGGTGGGAGACTGGGACTGAGGGTGGCGGGCACTCCTTTGCGGAATGTGGATGGTTTGGGGAGTCCACCCAGCCTGAAACGACCACCAGGGGGCGCCATTGGCACACAGTCAATCAGCCGCGTCCTGGGCCTGGAAATCTGTGCTGTCTGGGATCCCCAGGCCACATGGGGGCAGGTCGGGTGCAAGTTTCCACAGTCTTATTTTCACTACCCAAACATTTATGGGTTTGATTCAGGCCTGCGTTTATATGCCTAGTTTTATCCATTTGCAGATCTTTAAACAAAACGCACGGAGCACGGCAGGGACAGGGACAAGTGAGGAGGATCCTAACGCCCAGAGAGCTGTCACACCCCGCCCCTGCCTCCTCCGTGTGTGTGCGGTTCTCGCTCGTTGCTGTGCATCCCCCTGGTGGCCCAGCAGAGCCCACCCTGCGACAGGACCCCAGGAGCCCGCCCACAGGAGCTGGGTTCTGGACCGGGTCGGGGGGGCCGAGGAGAAGGGGAGGCTGTGCTGCGTTTGGGTGCCCGGTGGTGCCCTCTGACGGCACCCCCACGAGGCCATGAGGGCAGTGGCATTGACCTGAGGGCCGCCCACATGGGTTTGGCAGCCTTCCCTCCGGCAGCAGGGAGGCTGGCGGCCTGCTCCCGGGGCCCTCACCGGGGGCGCTGAGTGGGTGTAGCCCCGGCCTGTGCCGAGGGCCTGAGCCTCCCAGCTGCGCCCTCTGCACAGCCTGGTCTTGCTCCTACTTCAACATAAGCAAGCAAACGAAGTAAAGCTCTCCTTAACCAAAAAGAATGTTGTTCGTTGAGCACAGAAGACAGTCGGTGATGAGCCAGTTTCCTGGAGGCCCGTTGCCGGCTGCGGGGGGAGGCCAGTGCAAGGCCACTCCGGAATTTTATTTAAAGTTTTTATTGATTCGTTTATTTGAGTAATCCCTACACCCAACGCGGGACTTGAACCCATGACCCTGAGATCAAGAGTCACGCGCTCTTCTGACTGAGCCAGCCGGGCACCCCTGATTCACCCAGAATCATAATCCTTGGTACTTCCCCTCCTCAGCTTCATCCAATATGTGTTTTTAAGGAGACGCCACTTTCGTTGGATGATGGGAGAAAAGAAGAAGATGGACCAGAGGGTCTTTTATGTTGGGCGCATTTAAGCAAAGGGGTCCGTGGCTAACGTCCCTACACCCACAGGCCGCCCCTCCATTCCTCGGGGGGGCGGGCAGAGGAGGAGGCTTGTCCAGATCAGCCCTGCTCAGTCCTTTAGAATGGGGACCCTCCCTCAAATCCGTGCAGCCTGGAAGCATGAGCCCCAAATACCCAGCTGTGGTGGCCTGGTGGGGAGGGCCAGGTGGTCTGTGACCTGAGGGGGCCCTGGGGAGCCCCACTGCGAGTCACGGCTTCTGCAGGCTGTGGTGGGGGACACAGAGGCCTGGAAGTGCGAATCTACCCACAGAATCTACCCAAGAGGGGAGAGCAGAGGGACTGTGAGCCAGCTGTGTGGTGCTGCCCTGTCTTCCGGAACCTTCCAGCACGGGAGCCTGCAACCCCAACTCCAAAGGTGCCCAGACTTCAAGGGTCTCTGGAAAGAGCTCGCACAGGAACCAGCTGAAACGAGTGCTGTGGGCCCAGTGGGGGGTCGGGGACCCTGCCAACACCGCCAGGACACACTGGGCTTGGGGGAGGTAACAGCCTGCGTCTTCCCGGGGTGACCACCCTGAGGTTTCTGCCCCCGCACTTGCCCCACCACACACTGGTCTCCCTCCTCCTCTCACAAACCTACTCGGCCCTCCGCCCCCTGCCCGCCTCCACCGCATGGAGTATTCCAGTGCACCCCCTGAGAGAAGGGGGTGCACCCACAGCTGCCCCACCCCCACGCCGAGGCGGGCATGACTCAGCAAGAACTCGGGACGAAGGTGGTCTGAAACCAGCAGCCCGGCAGGCAGGAGGCGAGAAAGGACATTTTCAGTTACGCGGCCGCGGTTACTTAGCGCCCGAAAGAGGAAAGCCGGTGTTGCCGCAGTCGAGGGCAACAGCCCCGTCGGCTGCACAGAGGATTCTGTGAGTCACGGCGCTCCGGCAGCCCAGGCGGGCCGTGTGGCTGTGGGGCCGGACCCGGTCTCCCCCGGACCGACACGCGTGCGGGGCGCCCTGCTGCCCGCAGACCCCGTCTGGTCACTGACTGGGGAGCAGCGTTTCCGAAGGTCCGACCTCCCGGCTCAGGCCCGTCCCCAGCTGACACCACCCCTGCCACAGCCTGCCCGTGGCCGCTCCCGGCTGTGTCAAGACGCTTCCCCCGGGGGAGGCTGGGTCTCTGCTGCCTCCACCGGGCAGCCTCTGTCCTTGCCGTGGTCCCCAGCTGCCTGGAAACCCAACTTTAAATGGTGTCAGGTTGTCTGCAGACGTGTTCAGCCACAATGCAAGGACATGCACATGGTATCGAGACCCCAGGCCCTTTCAGGGGAGGGGCTTTGGGGCCCCAGCAGGCATTCGCCCCTTTCCTGCTCAGGGACCATTTCCTGCACACACTCCTGAGGCCTCTGGGGAAGCCATGGACTCTGGATTCAGGGGGAATGACCTGGCCATGAGGGAAAAGAGGGGACACTGGGCCTCCGCCAGGCTCTGGGCCTCCCCAGGGGAGATGTGTGATAGGGCCCACCTCACCTAGACCCCATCCCAGAAGGGCTGAGGACAGTGCTGGCCACGGGGGATGTCAGTGCTAGGCTCCCCCTTTCCTGCCTGACCTGCAGCTCTTCTTCCTACTCAACACTAACACACAGACACTACACTGTAGAAGAGATTTTTAAACAAAAAGTTCTAACTGCCCACAGAAAAAAGATGACAACAATCCATGCCAAATAGTGACAGCAATCTCTCTGAGGGTTGGGTTACCGATGATGTTAATTTTCCTCTCACTGCCTATCTGTTTTCTAAATTGTGGACAATGAATATGCATTCTTTTGAAATAAGCAAACAATTTCAGAAGTTGTTTCTAGAAGGGCAGCCTCTAAGTGCATTATGACCCCGGCTCTGATACAGTGTCTGGTGGGCTCTGGTCTCACATAGCCCTGCTGAGACCCAGCTGGACACTTCCACACTGCAGCCTCCTGGCCCTGGTCATGGACCTCAGTAGGTGGGCAAAGCAAATAAGACAAGGAAAGTAGGCTGAACGTGATGGGAAGTTGCCTCTGGTCTCCTGGACACTGTACTTTCAAGAGACCCCACCTCCTTTGGCACACCTGACTCTCCTCATTCACTACCTTCTCCATCTGCAACCACATCTTTTACCATCTGTCTCCCCCCGTGGAGTGGAAGATCCACCCCTTGGAACTCTCCATCTGTTTTGTATGTTGGTATATCCTGATGCCTGGAACACAGTAAGTGCTCAATAAATGTTTAGCGACTGATGGTTTCCAGCACCAACCACAGAAGGGTGCTGGACATTTAACACAATGCGAAATGTCCGTGACACAATTTACTGACATTCTGTACACCAAAGGGCTGTGTGATGTGTGCCTCTGTCACATCAGACATTTGGCGTGAGTTATGTGAATGTGAGTGTTGTGTATGTTAGGTTCCGAGCCCCATAAACCACGCCTGGGATTTCAACTGGATATTTATGGGGTTACTGGGGTGTCTGGCTGGGGCCGGGGAAGGGGGTTACACACTGCCTGGCATTGCTTCCAACCTTCCTGGGACACCTTCTCTAGCCCAATTCTGATCCTTCCCAGGAGTTACAGTAGGAAGGCCCAGACAGGTCACCCTGGTGTGTCCCATTGTCGCTAACATGGAAGCTATAGACTTCACCTGTGCCTGGAGAAGCTGCTGTTGCCAGGATTGACCTGTCCCGGAGAGGGAGAAGACAAGGCCACCAACAAGGACGAACTGACAGATGACTCACCCAGGGCCTGGATGCAAAACTCTTCTGACTTTATTCAGTTAAAAAAACAACACACAAAGAAACGGGTACTAAACGGTCAAACTGCATAAAATGGCCAACATATGAAACTAGGGTCTCTCCCCGTGCAGACCAGAGTCCCCACTGCGGCTGACAGGGTCCCCCGGGGCCCCAGAGACCACCCAGGCACAGGCAAGCACACAGCCCCGCTGCCCCCACCTCCGCGTGCTCCTGGGACACGGGCCCCACTGGACACATCCCTGCGTGTGGCCAGGGCAGGGCTGGTGCACAGACGCGTGTGCCGCACCCCACTTGCCGAGCTGCGCAGCAGCCATTCACCGACCGCGTCCCAGAGGGCGTCACGTTCCTGGCTCCGCGACATTTGACGGAGAAGAAATTCTCTCCCGGTTCCGGGCCTTTGGGTCCCTTCCACGGAGGCAGTGACGCGTCCCCTTTCTCAGTCCCTAGGCAGCTCCCCATTCTCCCTCCCCGGGCACTAGTCCCCCATTCTTTGCCAGTCGCTCCCCTGGCTGTTGTGGGGAGGGGGCGGCCAGGACAATGGTGGCCACTTGGGCCTCAGTCCCTCAGTTCTGGGGCCCTGGCCTGAAGGGCTGGAAGCAGGGCAGCTCCCCCAGGGCCGAGGCTCCCACGGCAGCCGGGCCCTCCCCAGGCCCCCGGGACCCACTGGGCCCGTGGCTCCAGGTCTCAGTGGTGCTGGGATCCCGTCCCTGGGGGGATGAGGACTGTGGCCTGGCTGCGGAGGCCCCCTCCCCTGCCTCCCTCTTGGCCCAGGGTGAGTAAGAGAGGATGGTGAATCCCCTCTTAAGCAGGGCTGAGTCCGCAGGGACCAGCTCTTCGGTCTGCCCTGGTGGACAGGGCTCCAGAATGCTCAGCTTCCACTTGTGCAGGTCCTGCTCCTGGGGCGCGTCCTGTAGTCTCACCACCCACAACTCGTCGGGCTCCAGCAGCAGTTTCCAGCCCCGGCCCGGGGTCCTCAGGGTCCATCCCACTGTCATCTTCCGGAGGTAGATGGCATCGTAGCAACCCACCATGGAGACGACCTCCAGGTCCCTTAACCAGGCCTCGGCCTCGGCAGGGTCCACGGCCCGGGTGGTGCCCAGCTCCAACACCATGGGCTCCCCCGGGGGCAGGTCCACTTTGAGAAACCCCTGCCACGGAGGAGGGAGAGTCGGCCAGTGCGAGCAGGTGGGGGGCCCGTCGAGTCTCCAGGGCAGGCTCTGGGTCCAGTCGGCATCCTCAGGACCCAGGCCCAAGGGTGCTGCGTTGTGAGGCTCCAGCTCGGTGGGCACAAAGTGGTGGTCCAGGCCCACCTCCTCAGACCCCGCAGGGGCTGACGCCAGGGTGCCTGGCCCCCAGTCCGCAGTCCCCCCCTGTGCGGGGTGACCTTGGCCCTGCCCCCAGCCGAACCCCATCCCCGGGGACCCCCCCTGCTCGGGCCCCGCCTCGGCGTGGTCCATCGGCTCAGGGTCCCAGTCTTCATCTTCCCAGTCTTCCAAGCCCAGCAAGTCTCTGAGTTCCAGAAAGGCAGCCTTGAAGCAAGCGAAGCAAACCCCCAGCTGGTCGCCATGCTGAAGCTGATACATCCAGGATGCATGGAGGTAGGACATGCCCTCGCCCCCATACCGCGCGCTGACCGGGGGGCACATGGCCACGCTGCCTGCCTCCTACTGGGGTGGGCAGCGAGAGCGGGACGTGCTGGGGGGCTCAGGGGGTCTGGCCCACAGGCGGGGGCGGGGCAGGGAGGGGCTGGAGGAGGAGCGGAAAGGGCGGGGGGCGGGGGAGAGAAAGAAAGGGGGTTCTTGTCTGGGTATGGGGGGGTGGAGGAGCTGGGTCGCAAGTCGACAGGGATCCGCAGGGGTCGGGAAGGTCGGACTTCCGGAGGGTTCTTCAGCTTATGCGACGGCTCTGTTCTCTGGGAAGACGCAGAGGGCAAGCAAGTGAGGTCAGTGCCCCCCGGCAGGCAGGGTGGCCGGTCCCTGGTCACCCGTCACTGGGGGGAGCAGGGGCAGGGGCGATGGGTTGAGACCTGGCCCTTTCAGCCCTGCCCCCAGGCCCGTGGGGCACCCGCGCCCTCCCCACCCAACCTCCCCGACCCCCACCCCCGAGACCCCGGCAGCCAGTCAGCCTCGCGCGGCAGGACCTGAGAGAACCTGAGGGATCCCGACGGGACCCGATGGAACCTGACGGGACCTGATGGGGGACGCTGAGGGAAGCTCGTGGAGTCAACCCCCCCACCCGGCCCGAGGCCAGGCTGGACCACCTGGGCGCTTCAGCCTCTCACCCCACCCCACCCCACCAGCCTGTGTCCCCCAGACCCGCTCCTCAGCCCGAGGGGTTCTCACCCTGCCTGGCACCTCCCTCCTGTGGGCGCCCCTCAGAAAGGAGGGGAAGCGGCCCACCTGGCAATATAAAGGGCCCTTTCCCATGGTGCTCTGGGCTCATCTGCATATCTCCCATGAGCCTCAGCCCACCAGGAAATGAAACTGCTGAGTCACCACCTCCCTCCCAGGAGAGCCCTGTGTGGCCCCCCCAGGGAGGGCAGGCTGTCCCCCTCTGCCCCCCAGCACCATCATGCCTTCCCAGGTGTTGCTCCGCCCCCGCCCGCAGAACTGTTCTCCCTGTTCTTTCCATCTGCAGGTTTCTGAAACTGTGCAGGCGGGCGCGTCTCCGATGGTCCTTGTCCCTTCGTGGGTGACCTGCCTGGTCACGGGTCCTGTCCTGTGGCTGAAAGTGGGTTCCTTCTTGTTTTCTTTTGATTAAAGCTTCTTTGGGAATTCTGGAAACTGATCAAGCCTCAATTATTTACATTTTAAACACATTTCCCCCTTTTGTGCCTCTTTTCACTTCAAAATAACTCTTTATTTGAACTCTTTTTTGAACATAGACTATTTTTAGAGCATTTTGGGTACAGAGCAAAATTAAGCAGCAGGTACAGAGTTCCCATTTACACTTGCCCCTCACATGCGTAGCCTCCCCACTATCAACATCTGCACCAGGTACATTTGTCATAATTGGTGAGCTGGACTGAGCAGAGCCTGCAGGAGACACAGCTGAAGGCAAAGGTCCTTGCATCAGTGGTTCTCAAATTTTGCTGCACATTAAAATTTTCTTGGGAATTTGAAGAGTCCCACTGCTCATGTCACAGCATGTGGTAGACACAGCTGAGGTGACCCCCAGTGGTCATGCCCTCCCTGTGATTGGAGGTGGAGCCTGGGACTTGCTTCGAACCAAGGAGTGGTACGGGGGGTCGATGCTACTGCCTGAAGTCACATTTTGTGGCAAAGAGGTGTCCCTCCTGCAATGACATTACCATGAATGTACATAAGACCCCAAGCCAGCTCTGGCTGTCTCCTCCTGGCCTTGAAGAGGGAAACAGCCATGCCGTGAACTGTGCGGGAAACTGGTCAGCCTCTGGGACCTGAAAGTGCATCCAGCTGACAGCCAGGCCCTCAGGCCCAAAACCACAAGGAAAAGAATTCTGGCAGCTGAGAGCACAGTCCATCCAACACTTCGGCTGCAGCTGTGTGAGACCCCGAGCAAGGGGCCTAGCCAAGGCATATTCCAACTCCTAATCCATGGAAACTAGAAAATAAATGTGTGTTGTTTTAAGCCTAAATTTGGTCATTTGTTACGAATCAACAGAAAACCAACATTTGCCCATATCAGTTGCATCAGAATTCTCACATGGGATCCAGGCATGTCAGTGTCTTAAATTCTCCAGATGTTTTCAATATGCTGTACAATTCCAGAACCAGTGCCTAGACACCTGGGTGAGCTTAGACGTTTTCACAGATGTTGGGCCATTAATCCTCCACCCTCCCCTGGTCTTAGCCTAAGTGATACTCAAGCCAGGCTCTGCATGGTCCCCAAATAGCTATGGTCCACCCAACCACCCTGTGACTAAGACACCTTACTGTGACCTGCCACAAACTGGAAAGTATGTGATTTAACCGGCCTCAAGGCCCTTACAGGGCCAAAGTCATGACCTGGAGGCCAGCAGGGACCAGAACCTGGCCCCAGACCTGTCCTCATTCCAAGGCCCCATCTCCACTGGCCCAGGACATGTGAGCTCTTGCAACAGAAAAGGGTGAAGGGGGAGAAACCCAAAAAAGTGAGTGTGGCCAAGTCTTGTCAGACTAGAAGAGGACCAGGATGACCGTGCTGGTCAAGCTTAAGGGCCCCCACTGCCCCAAGGGCTGAGACTCTCGATAGGAAAAAGGCCAAAGTCCCTGGTGTGCCTTTGAGCTTGCTAGTGCTTGTCTTTGTCTCGTCCACGAGGCCTGTGCAGCTCCTGAGGCTTAGAGAACATTCCAGAGATGTTTGTGGGGTGGATGCATTCCCGCTTCTTGGCTGGCTTGATGACCTCCGTCCTTGGGATGGCCATCAAAGTGTAACTGACCTGCTGTGTTCCTGGGCACAGACTCTGCATCCCCTAGATGGATTCAGAGCCAACCTGGGGCTGGGGCCTTTCCCGGGCACAGACTCCACCAGCGTGTCTTGGAATCTGACCGGAGCATGGCCAGTTGTGCTCAGAGAAACCACCTGACCCAAAAAGCTTACATGCCCACGCATGCTTGGATCTGTGGGCAGGTGACCCAGTTGGAGTCAAGCCCTAATAAAAAAGAAAAGCGTGTTTAAATAATCAGGTGATTCACCAAAGAAAACGTTCTTTTTTTTTTTTTAAATATTTTATTTATTTATTTGAGA